TCACTACAGAGCAGACAGTCCATTTCCTACACTGGAGTAGAGGAGAGCCCGGCGTGATCAGCTTCAATTTACATGTCTAGTTCAGAATCAACAACCAGGAATAGTCTTCATATGGCTGATAAATATTACCGTCTCATCTGAAGTCATTCCAACCACATTCTCCATCAGTCACCCTGTGCCCCTAAGAGACATAATATGGATATTGGGATCTGAGACAGGGGTCTCCCAACCTCTGCAAAGTAAGCAGGGTTCCATGAGCCCCCCACCCAAAGTGACTCCCATCACAAGGTGGAACCAAAGGACGGTGCTCGGAGGTGGGTAGGAGGTGGAGCCAAGGGATGGTACTTAGAGGTGGGTAGGAGGTGGAACCAAGAGACGGTGCTTGGAAGTGGGTAGGTGGTGGAACCAAGGAATGGTGCTCAGAAGTGGGTAGGGGGTGAAATCAAGGGACGGTGCTTGGAGGTGAGTAGGAGGTGGTACCAAGGAACAGTGCTTGGAGGTGGGTAGGAGGTGGAACCAAGGGATGGTACTCAGAGGTGGGTAGGAGGTGGAACCAAGGAACGGTTCTCAGAGGTGGTAGGAGGTGGAACCAAGGGATGTGCATGAAGGTGGGTAGGAGGTGGAACCAAGGGATGGTACTTGGAGGTAGGTAGGAGGTGGAATCAAGGGACGGTGTGCATAGGTGGGTAGGAGGTGGAACCAAGGAATGGTGTTCAGAGGTGGGTAGGAGGTGGGACCAAGGGATGGTACTCAGAGGTGGGTAGGATGTGGAACCAAGGAACGGTTCTCAGAGATGGGTAGGAGGTGGAACCAAGGGATGTGCATGAAGGTGGGTAGGAGGTGGAACCAAGGAATGGTGTTCAGAGGTGGGTAGGAGGTGGGACCAAGGGACGGTACTCAGAGGTGGGTAGGATGTGGAACCAAGGAACGGTTCTCAGAGGTGGGTAGGAGGTGGAACCAAGGGATGGTACTTGGAGGTAGGTAGAAGGTGGAATCAAGGGACGGTGTGCATAGGTGGGTGGGTAGGAGGGACGGAACCAAGGGACAGTGTGTATAGGTGGGTAGGGTGTGGAATCAAGGGACGGTGTGCATAGGTGGGTAGGAGGTGGAATCAAGGGACGGTGTGCATAGGTGGGTAGGAGGTGGAACCAAGGGATGGTGCTCGGAGATGGGTAGGAGGTGGAGACAAGAAGTGACTCAGAATAAGGGGAGTTCCTGCACCTATACTTTGAAAAAAAGAGCCGTGGTTATTTCAGTTGTATCTTTTACATCTGCCCGGAGTTCAGCTTTAAGTCATCGTTCGGTGTGAGGTCTCGGAGCACATAAACAACCATTTAATATTCACCAAACCAGATTAAAAGGGGAACAAATGTATTAGTATACATACTTGTATTTAAATCCCCGCCAGCGGTTACGTCCGATATTCCTTGCAGAAAAGATATCAATTAAGCGTCATGTTTTCGGCAGTTTCTCATAAAAGAAACCAATAACCAGCAAGTCCCGAGTTTTCATAATCTCCCTTCTCATCCTCTCCCCCCCCTCCCTCCCTCTCCCTCTCTCTCTCCCTCGCTCTCTCTCCCTTCCACCTCTCTCTCCCTTCCACCCTCTCTCTCCCTCTCCCTCTCTCTCCCTTCCACCCTCTCTCTCCCTCCCTCTCTCCCCCTTCCACCCTCTCTCTCCCTCCCTCTCTCCCCCTTCCACCTCTCTCTCTCCCTCCCTCTCTCTCCCCCTTCCACCCTCTCTCTCTCCCTCGCTCTCTTTCCCCTTCCACCCTCTCTCTCCCCTCCCCCTCTCTCCCTCCCTCTCTCCTCCTTCCATCCTCTCTCTCCCTCGCTCTCTCTCCCTTCCACCCTCTCTCTCACTCTCTGCCTTCCATCCTCTCCCTCCCTCCGCCCCTCTCCCTCCCCCCCCCCTCTCTCTCCCTCTCTCCCCCCTCTCTCTCTCGCTCTCCCCTCTCTCCCTCTCGCTCTCTCCCTCCCCCTCTCTCCCTCCTCTCTCTCTCTTTCTCTCTCGTTCTCTCTCTCTCTCTCTTTTGCCAGCGGCACAATTATGTGATGATCAAGGTTATACAGTTACTCTGTGAAACGGGCAACCTGAAGTATTTTTATATCATTTCCCAGAATCAGATGAATGACTGGAGTCTGCCGGATCTGCCGCTGGGTAGTGGAAACATTGCCATATATTACGGGGCCGGATAAAGGAAAAAAATGGAGTTTGACAGCCGCGCCATTCCGATTTCTGGGGTGTGAAGGGGAGACGCCGGCCAGAATCGCTGGAGCTGATCGGAACTGATAAGAACGGAAAAGATTTCAATTAACCCGCTTTGATGGTTCTGGAGATTGATAATCCTGTTTTATAGTAAAATTTAAACCCTTACAGGATTGCTCCGGGCAAATATATAAATTCACCTTTTACTTCACTCTCCAGGAAACATTTTTATCATTTTGGCTGCTATAGTCTCCTAAATCTGTGTTTAGATGTGACTCCCTCAGAATAGCTGAAAGATGTTATAAGGCTTGTATTTAAAGCAGAGTTCCACCCAAAAGTGGAAGCTTCACTTTCTGCCTCCTCCCCCCTTCCACATTTGGCACCTTTTTGGGGGGGAGCGGGTATCTGGTTTTGACAGTTACCCTCTCCCACGTCCGGCTCATTCCTTCCAAGGTCCCAGAGAACTGCAGCCCATTCAGAATGTGCGCCGGTTTCCCTTATTCAAGATGGCGGCGCCAGCACTCGACAGCCGACTGAAGAATCAGCTCAGGGTGAGGACACCAGGTAAGTTGGGGGGGAGGTGGGGGGGGGGGCTGGAACTCTGCTTTAAAGCTGATCGGCACGAAGGAAGGGTACTTAGTAAGTGGACCTCTGCCTGGATCTGACTACTCTCCTGTCCGCAGGATGCCCACAACCTCCACCTGGACCTGACTATGCTCTTGCCTGCCATCTACACATGGCCTCTGCCTGGACTTGACTACTATCTTTCCTGCAGTCTGCCCATGGTCTCTGTCTAGACCTGACTCCTTTCTTGCCTGCCATCTACCCATGGCCTCTGCCTTGACCTGACAACTTTTTTGCCAGCCTCCCATCCAAAACCTCTGCCCGAACCTGACTACTCCCTTGTCTGCAGCCTGCCCATGGGCTCTACCTTGGCCTAACTACTTCCTTGCCTTCCGCCTGCTCTCAACCTCTGGATCTGACTATTCTACTGCCTGCAGGATGTCCATGACCTCTGCCTGGACCTGACTATGCTCTTGCCTGCCATCTACCCCATGGCCTCTGCCTGGACCTGACTACTATCTTTCCTGCAGTCTGTCCATGGTCTCTGTCTGGACCTGACTCCTCTCTTGCCTGCCATCTACCCATGGCCTCTGTCTGGACCTGACTCCTCTCTTGCCTGCCATCTACCCATGGCCTCTGCCTGGACCTGACTATGCTCTTGCCTGCCATCTACCCATGGCCTCTGCCTGGACCTGACTACTATCTTTCCTGCAGTCTGTCCATGGTCTCTGTCTGGACCTGACTACTCTCTTGCCTGCCATCTACCCATGACCTCTGTCTGGACCTGACTCCTCTCTTGCCTGCCATCTACCCCATGACCTCTGCCTGGACCTGACTATGCTCTTGCCTGCCATCTACCCATGGCCTCTGCCTGGACCTGACTACTATCTTTCCTGCAGTCTGCCCATGGTCTCTGTCTGGACCTGACTCCTCTCTTGCCTGCCATCTACCCATGGCCTCTGCCTGGACCTGACTCCTCTCTTGCCTGCCATCTACCCATGGCCTCTGCCTGGACCTTACTATGCTCTTGCCTGCCATCTACCCATGGCCTCTGCCTGGACCTGACTACTATCTTTCCTGCAGTCTGTCCATGGTCTCTGTCTGGACCTGACTCCTCTCTTGCCTGCCATCTACCCATGGCCTCTGCCTGGACCTGGATACTTTATTGCCTGCTGCCTGTCCATGAGCCCTGCCTGGACTTGACTACTATCTTTCCTGCAGTCTGCCCATGGTCTCTACCTGGACCTGACCACTCTCTTGCTTGCCACCTGCCCTTGACCTCTGCCCACGACCTGCCCATGACTATGCTCTCTCCTGCTGTTTTCCCATAATCTCTGCCTGGACCTGACTAATCTTCTGCTTAGAATTTGAGCTTGCAAAAAAGAAAACCAGCCCTGCTAGGGTTTCCAGCCCATCTCCATCATCAGGAGCTCTGCTGAACATGTCAGGTAGACTCTGCACCTCAGCTGAGCCCATGTTACCTGCCAGGGGCTGCCAATAAAGTATCCTTCTGATCCAGAGCGGCCATTCAGTACAACAGGGGTGTGTGTGGTGCTGGGTTTACTATAATGGCATCATTGGCCTGTGCCTAGGCAACCCTTTCCCCTTCCCTCTGACCACCTCTAGACATTTGTTGCCACATCAAGCGAGATAACTGTAGGAGGAAAGAGATGCAGGAGATGAGAAGAGAAGACAAGTTCCATAGAACTACCTTTCCTTTCTATGTGCTGTTCTGTACAGATGAAAAGTAGCTATGCTTAATATGCAGACTCCATGCAGCCTGCAATAGTTCATTCTAGCTTCAGTTTTTACTACAATGAAGTGTATGCGTGCCGTGTGTAACGATTGACTTTGAACCATCACAATTTGCTTGTAATTGCTTAGCATGGCAGCTTAGGTGTTTGCAGTGCACTCCTGCCCTAATCAATAAAAGCTCAAGAAGGCTGCTGGATATGAAGCCTGAGCTGATCAACACGCCTTGGATCGAGTTCTGTCGGACTCTGACTATGGATTGCCTATGTTTATCCTGGTCTGTAGCCTGTTATCTCTTGGCTATTGTCAGTCGGCACTCCCCTCTGCCTGTCTGGAATCGGCAGAAGACTTCTCCAACCAATTGTATTCACTGCTAACTGCCACTATCTGCTGTTTGCTATCAACCGTCTGAAAACCTGCAACATGTTGCACCATTCCTGAATGTTAATTGGTGGTTGCCCTGGTGACAAAATGTGTCCACTAAACTCCGTGGCACTGTCTGTGTGCAATGCTGTGCTCTGTGCCACATGTAGTCCGAACGTGTAAGAACGCATGTCCATGTGTGTGCTGAAAACTTCATTTCATTCTATACGCATAGTGCCCACTGCCATACCCCCCCCCCGCACTCCTCTCCGGTACATACCGATCACTGTCATACCCCCCGCACTCCTCTCCGGTACATACCGATCACTGTCATACCTCCACACTCCTCTCCTGTACATACCAATACCGTCATCCCCCACACTCTGTCATACCGATCACTCCCTCCCCACCCTCTCCTTTACATACCGATCACTGTCATACCTCCACACCCCTCTCCTGTACATACCGATCACTGTCATACCTCCACACTCCTCTCCTGTACATACCGATCACTGTCATACCTCCACACCCTCTCCTTACATACCGATCACTGTCATACCTCCAACCCTCTCCTGTTACATACCGATCACTGTCATACCTCCACAACCCTCTCCTTTACATACCGATCACTGTCATACCTCACACCTCCCCTCTCCTGTACATACCGATCACTGTCATACCCCCACACTCCTCTCCTGTACATACCGATCACTGTCACACCCCACACTCCTCTCCTGTACATACCGATCACTGTCATACCCCCACACTCCTCTCCTGTATATACCGATCACTGTCACACACCCCCCACACTCCTCTCCTGTACATACCGATCACTGTCATACCCCACACTCCTCTCCTGTACATACCGATCACTGTCATACCTCCACACCCTCTCCTGTACATACCGATCACTACCCCCCATCACTGTCATACACACCATACCTCCACACCTCTCCTGTACATACCGATCACTGTCATACCCCCCACACCCCTCTCCTGTACATACCGATCACTGTCATACCTCCCACACTCCTCTCCTGTACATAAAAATCACTGTCATACCTCAACACTCCTCTCCTGTACATACCGATCACTGTCCCGATCACCTCACACCCCCCCACTCCTCTCCTGTACATACCGATCACTGTCATACCTGTCACACTCCTCTCCTGTACATACCGATCACTGTCATACCTCCACACTCCTCTCTCTACTGTACATACACCGATCACTGTCATACTGTCATACCCACACTCCTCTTTACATCCGATCACTGTCATACCTCCCACTCCTCCTGTACATCCATCACTGTCATACCCCTCCACACCCCCTCTCCTGTACATACCGATCACTGTCTGTCATACCCTCCACTCCTCTCCTGTACATACCGATCACTGTCACACCTCCACACTCCTCTCCTGTACATACCGATCACTGTCATACCTCCACACTCCTCTCCTGTACATACCGATCACTGTCATACCCCCACACTCCTCTCCTGTACATACCGATCACTGTCATACCTCCACACTCTCTCCTGTACATACCGATCACTGTCATACCTCCACACTCCTCTCCTGTACATACCCGATCACTGTCATACCTCCACAACTCCTCTCTCCTGTACATACCGATCACTGTCATACCCCCCCCACACTCCTCTCCTGTACATACCCATATCAACACTGTGTACATACCTCCACACTCCTCTCCTGTACATACCGATCACTGTCATATACCTCCACACTCCTCTCCTGTACATACCGATCACTGTCATACCCCCCACACTCCTCTCTTGTACATACCGATCTACTGTACTGTCATACCTCCACTCCCTCTCCTGTACATACCGATCACTGTCATACCTCCCACACTCCTCTCCCTGTACATACCGATCACTGTCATACCTCCACACTCCTCTCCTGTACATACCGATCACTGTCATACCTCCACACTCCTCTCCTGTACATACCGATCACTGTCACCCCTCCTCCACACTCCTCTCCTGTACATACCGATCACTGTCATACCCTCCACACTCCTCTCCTGTACATACCCATCACTGTCATACCGATCACTGTCACCATCACCCCCCCACACTCCTCTCCTGTACATACCCATCACTGTCATACCATACCACCACACACTCCTCTCCTGTACTATACCGATCACTGTCATACCTCCACACTCCTCTCCTGTACATACCGATCACTGTCATACCTCCACACTCCTCTCCTGTACATACCGATCACTGTCACACCCCCCCCACTCCTCTCCTGTACATACCGATCACTGTCACACCCCCCCCACTCCTCTCCTGTACATACCGATCACTGTCACACCCCCCCCACACTCCTCTCCTGTACATACCGATCACTGTCACACCTCCACACTCCTCTCCTGTACATACCGATCACTGTCATACCCCCACACACCCTCTCTCTGTACATACCGATCACTGTCATACCTCCCACACTCCTCTCCTGTACATACCAATCACTGTCATACCCCCCACACTCCTCTCCTGTACTCCTGTACATACCAATCACTGTCACACCCCCCCACACTCCTCTCCTGTACATACCGATCACTGTCACACCTCCCACACTCCTCTCCTGTACATACCGATCACTGTCACACCTCCACACACTCCTCTCTCTATACATACCGATCACTGTCATACCTCCCACACTCCTCTCCTGTACATACCCATCACTGTCATACCTCCACACACTCCTCTCCTGTACATACCGATCACTGTCATACCCTCCACACTCCTCTCCTGTACATACCACACTGTCATACCTCCACACTCCTCTCCTGTATATACCGATCACTGTCATACCTCCACACTCTCTCTCCTGTACATACCGATCACTGTCATACCCCCCCACACCCCTCTCCTGTACATACCCGATCACTGTTATACCTCCACACTCCTCTCCTGTACATACCGATCACTGTCATACCTCCACACTCCTCTCCTGTACATACCATACCACTCCTCTCCTGTCATACCGATCACTGTCCCCCCACACTCCTCTCCTGTACATACCGATCACTGTCATACCTCCACACTCCTCTCCTCCTCTCCTGTACATACCGATCACTGTCATACCTCCACTCCTCTCCTGTACATACCGATCACTGTCATACCTCCACACTCCTCTCCTGTACATACCGATCACTGTCATACCCCCCCACACCTCTCCTGTACATACCGATCACTGTCAACCTTCCCTCCCACACTCCTCCTCCTGTACATACCGATCACTGTCATACCTCCACACTCCTCTCCTGTACATACTGTCATCACTGTCACACCATACCGATCACTGTCACACCCCCCCCCTCCTCTCCTGTACAAACCTGATCACTGTCATACCCTCCCACACTCCTCTCCTGTACATACCGATCACTGTCATATACCTCCACACTCCTCTCCTGTACATACCCATCACTGTCACACCCCCCACACTCCTCTCCTGTACATACCGATCACTGTCATACCTCCACACTCCTCTCCTGTACATACCAATCACTGTCATACCCCACACTCCTCTGCTGTACATACCGATCACACTGTCATACCTCCACACTCCTCTCCTGTACATACCGATCACTGTCACACACCCCCCCACACTCCTCTCCTGTACATACCCAATCACTGTCACACCCTCCACACTCCCCTGTACATACCGATCACTGTCACACCCCCCCCACTCCTCTCCTGTACATACCGATCACTGTCACACCCCCACACTCCTCTCCTGTACATACCGATCACTGTCATACCCCCCCACACTCCTCTCCCTGTACATACCGATCACTGTCATACCTCCACACTCCTCTCCTGTACATACCGATCACTGTCACACCCCCCACTCCTCTCCTCTACATACCAATCACTGTCATACTGTCTGCATTGCTCCCTCACTGCTCACTAAGACATTTCTCTCTCATTGTTCGATGGACTCACTTTTCCTTCTTCCATCACTAATATATTTCGTAATGATTGTAATTTGTGTTTCTTGGTTATTATTGCTCTTTCTCCTGCAGTTGCTCCTTTCTGGCCGGATGGTGATGCCAAGCAGAAAATATGATTAGACTGCGAGAACATAATGGGATTAATCAATGTCTGCATTTACTGCTGTAATCCTGACATCTGATGTCATCAATTAAAATGGTAATTGCGGAGCGATTTAACATTCATCATCTCACAGAAGAAGCATTTGGTGCCGAGTACCTGCAATACGCAGCATGTCTGGCCGCAGCACAAAGCCTGCGAGGGTGGAAAACATAGAGCGTGCTGCAGGAGAAGAGACTCCGCAGGATGAAGATGTACCCCAGGCTGGGCGTTCCGGGATCAACGTGAGAGTATCTATATCTAAGGAAGAGATCTCTATTCCACATACATACAGTGGGGATGGAAAGTATGGGCCCCCCAGCTAAAAATGTGTATTAATGTGCATAAAGAAGCCAGGAAAGATGGAAAAATCTCCAAAAGGCATCAAATTACAGATTAGACATTCTTATAATATGTCAACAAAAGTTAGATTTTATTTCCATCATTTACACTTTCAAAATAACAGAAAACTAAAAAAAATGACGTCTGCAAAAGTTTGGGGCCCCCTGCAGAATTTATAGCATGCACTGCCCCCTTTGCCAAGCTGAGACCTGCCAGTGTCATGGATTGTTCTCAATCATCGTCTGGGAAGACCAGGTGATGTCAATCTCAAAGGTTTTAAATGCCCCGACTCATCTGACCTTGCCCCAACAATCAGCACCATGGCTTCTTCTAAGCAGTTGTCTAGAAAACTGAAACTGAAAATAGTTGACGCTCACAAAGCTGGAGAAGGCTATAAGAAGATAGCAAAGCGTTTTCAGATGTCAATATCCTCTGTTCGGAATGTAATTAAGAAATGGCAGTCATCAGGAACATTGGAAGTTAAAGCAAGATCTGGAAGACCAAGAAAAATATCAGATAGAACAGCTCGCAGGATTGTGAGAAAAACAATTCAAACCCCACGTTTGACTGCACGATCCCTCCAGAAAGATCTGGCAGACACTGGAGTTGTGGTCACTATTCCACTATAAAGAGATACTTGTACAAATATGGTCTTCATGGAAGAGTCATCAGAAGAAAACCTCTCTACGTCCTCACCACAAAAATCATCGTTTGAACTTTGCAAATGAACATATAGACAAGCTGATGCATTTTGGAAACAAGTTCTGTGGACCGATGAGGTTAAAATGGAACTTTTTGGCCGGAATGAGCAAAGGTACGTTTGGAGAAGAAGGGCACAGAATTGAATGAAAAGAACCTCTGCCCAACTGTGAAGCATGGGGTTGGATCAATCATGCTTTGGGGTTGTGTTGCAGCCAGTGGCACAGGGAACATCTCACGAGTAGAAGGAAAAATGGATTCAATAACATTTCAGCAAATTTTGGGATGGTAACTTGATGCCATCTGTGAAAAAGCTGAAGTTAAAGAGAGGATGGCTTCTACAAATGGATAATGATCCTAAACACACCTGGAAATCCACGGGGATTACATCAAGAGGCGTAAACTGAAGGTTTTGCCCATGGCCTTCACAATCTCCTGACCTCAACATCATTGAAAATCTATGGATAGACCTTAAAAGAGCCGTGCGTGACAGACAGCCCAGAAATCTCAAAGAACTGAAGACTTTTGTAAGGAAGAATGGGCAAAGATACCTCAAACAAGAATTGAAAGACTCTTGGCTGGCTACAAAAAGCGTTTACAAGCCGTGATACTTGCCAAAGGGGGCAGTACA